TGAATTTGATTATATTCTTGTCCGATGGTCTTTGTAACGTACCAAAAGCGGAACTCGAACAGATTTGTAAACGAGGCAAAGACGAACAGTAAGTAGAGTTCTGAACAGTAGCTTATTTGTTTTATGTCTATAAATTCGCTTACAATGTCGCTTTCATTACAACTAGGTCTCCTGTTTACCTATATACAGTATATTTTGCTGCCGGTTCAAGTAAGTTCTACTGATATCTTTGTCGCAAATGAAAATCTTTGATTTGGTTCTTAATTATATGTATTACTATAGGCAGTGCATCATCGCTTCAAGAGATGGTGGATATTGCATCTAAATATGTTCCAGAAAAAGGGCTCAAGTGTCAATTCGTATCAGTACCGTCTACACTCGCATTGAAAGACCACTTCGTGAGTATTGCGGAAAGTATAAAAAAGAATCAGGCAACCCTTATCAGGGGGTAAATAGACCCACAGTTTGAATTTTCAAACCCATATTATTATCAAGACAGCAAATATTTTGACTATCCAGATTATCACTATTTTACTATCCAGAGTAGCGCTGTTCTAATTGCGTGTCAAATTCTACAAGATCGTTAATAGTAAATCAACAGTTCTAGTTTACAATTTTCATCAATAATTGCACGTTTTGCAACTCACCCGTTTAGTAGCTCTTTATCTTCATACGCCATGCTTATACTCGTAGATCTTTTTAGCGTAATATAAGCCTGTTCCTATAGATAGTATACTTAATGTCCAGGGAATAGGCTTACTGCCGCCTTTAATGGCGCGAGGTAACATTGAACCAGCCAAGACGATGGATGTTGCTGCAATTGAAACAAGTGCATCATAAGAATTGTCTCACAGTAAGAGAAATTGACACGCAACGAGTTCTTTGCAATACCTAAGGCTCCTCCCTGACCATAATCCTTTCCTTCCTTAATACAGTATCTTATTTGTTCGCAAATTTGGCAATGTATTCAAGATCCAGAAATATAATGCAATATGTCTCCTTTATTACCTTACCCGGATATAGCATAGGCCGCTCCAATACCAACTCCTGCTATAATCGAAGGAACTGATCGGGCTTTTGCATAACCAAGAATGCCCCCCGTTGTACCTATATAGTGAATCAAAGATGTAAAGGAAAATAGTCATACGCTAGTCCTTCCCAATAAACAGATTAATAATTGCAATGCGTGTAGCCAAAGTAGCTATCAACTTACAGATCGCAGCCATTGTATATGACGGATGGTGTGACATTTGGTATGTTTCTTAGGATTAATGCTCGTTGGAATGTGAAAACTATTTACCTTGTGTTACAGGACGAAAGCGAAATAGTAACTGCAGGGTCGAACGGAAGATTTTAAGTTACCAATATTAAGCCACACTTGAGCAAAACGTGACCAACAGCTAATAGTTTCTCGTAATCTTCGACACAATGATCATTCGATTAGTGTATAACTGCAAGTATACAATTTTAGCATCAAAACCTTTAACTAAGAAAACAATTGGAATGTGATGGCAAATAAATGTTGGATTTCGTGTTCTTTATGCTCTTACACATTCATAAGCGCAATTAATTCGAAATTTAATTAGAATAAGCAAAAGAGTTAGTACTTTGTTTAATCAGTTGAATGAAACTATTTTTTATGGTCGCGACTAAAACGATGAAATTTATATAGAAGTGAACGTTTAATAGCTGTCACAAATTTCACCAGCACAAATAAACATTCTCATATCACGGAATAAAAGTTGCAAATCAATTTTCAAGACCCAGCATTTTAAACTTTGTTGTGAGTTTTGTTGAGCGTTTAGAACAAATCCTGTCTTTATAACGAAGGGCATTCTGTCAGAATAATTAAATCAAATAACCCGGATCATTGTTAAAGGATTGTTCACTTTGTGTATTGAATGGATTAATTGGGACTTATGCGAGAAGGTCAGAGGATGACAGATCATGTTGATCGTTTTTCTGATGAAGGCAAATATTCATGTATTCCTTCCACAAACTGGGCTATTATTGACTTCCGGCACAATACCAACATGCGCCAAAACCCTGGAGCCAAACGTTTGGTATGCATTGTATGCGGACAATTATAAAACTATCACCATCAGACGTCAAAATAGAGAAGATCTAACTCTAACTCTAAAGGGTGATGACCTTGCTTTCTCTTGGAAAGTGTGAGAGATATTCATGAAATAGTAAGATGTGCCTCAGCACATATCATTGTTTGTAAATACTTTTGCATGTTGTAGCCGAAAGAGAAAAAAAGAGTAATCAGTTTGGATTAACTGACTAATGTAAGGACATCTCTTTCCTCATGTTTGGCATTCAGTATAGTGTTATCTTCGCAGCATGAATTATATTCAAGTGATCATGCAATGTTTTGCTTGTATATGTGGGTGAATTAGGTATTTACTAATACTAATCTTTCATGTCTCATTAACCCAACAATCATAATAGAGATAGTGACACTAATAAAGATTTGCAATAATCACGGAGTAAATTTTTCTGGTGAGCAATTACATGCTACTGCTAAATGTAAAGTTAATAATATATAGGAATATCCGTATATGGAAAATTATAATTATAATGGTTCCGCTGAATATGAAAAAGCAATGCGTTTCTTAGAGATAGGTTGCAATTGTGGTTGCTCAAAAAAGATTTCGAGAGAAGGGTTTGCCGAATTACGTGAAGCGTTTCAAGCTCTCTCTAATTCCGAACAAGATATATTTTTAATGGCCCAACTGAAGCAATGAATGGTGGAGAAATAACTACTAGTCGACGTCTTAAAAAGAAAACGCGTACTAATAAGCGAACATTTTATTACTGAGATCGCAATACGCCGCTTTGTCAGAAAACGTATCTCAATATGTTAGGAATCGGTCGCACTCACTTCGAAAATATCAGAAATCACCTAGCAACGAATGGTATCATACCACGCTACGGCCGTGAAGAATTTTCTCGAAAACTATGCTGAAATTCATGGATTACCAAGTCCTGGTAGAAACGTCAACCGAATTACTCAATCACTTACACTTTTGCCAGCCGAAACGAGTTATAAATCGGTCTATCGTGATTTTATCACAGGTCTCGAAAACGATAGCACGTTGAAATTGTTAAAGTATGATGCATTCCGCAAATTATGGCACCAATTAACGCCTTATATTCAAATCATGAGTTTACGAACGGATTTATGTGATACCTGTCAACGTTTTCGGAATGGCTTACAGTACAGTGCTCGTAAGGAAGAAGAAGCGAAAGACTTACTAAAAAAATTTAAAGAACATTTAGTTAAGGCCAAATTAGAAAGAAATTATTACAACAAAAATACGAAATTAGCAGAACAACAGAGAAAATTAGTAGACGATAATTACATTGCAATAGGAGGTAAAGTTGATTATTGTAGCATTGACGCAACTGCACATTACAGTTACGATTGAGCGCAAAACGTTCACGTGCCCCACTCCGATCAACAGGTAAGTAAAATTTATTACCTCAGTCCGCGTAAGGTGCATTTATTTGGTATTCAAGATGAGGCAGTACGCGAACAAATTAATTACTGTTCTCGATGAAGACGAAACCATCGGCAAAGGCCCTAATGGCACCTTGAGCATGGTATTCGATGGAATTAAAAAATTAAATAACGGTGAAAAACATTTGAAGATTACTTGTGATAACGCGGGTGGACAGAATAAAAATAATGCTACCATTTGATTTTACTTATATTTAAAAGTTTGCGGGTATTATGAAAGTATCGAATTAAATTTTATGGTACCGGGACATACTAAATTTAAATGTGACGGTAGTTTCGGATTGATTAAAAAGCTCTATAGAAAGACAACAGTAGATTGTGTAGACCATATCGTTGAGGCTGTAAAAAAATCAAGTACAGCTGGATTAAACAAAGCTCAGTGCTATGACAACGGAAAAGGTTTTCGTATTGGGAATTTTCTTTAAGAAATTGAGTGGTTTACAAAAGTATCAGCATTTTCTATTCGAAGCAGCCCGACCTGGTATTGTCAAAGCTCAGCTGGTTGATAATGGTTCGTATACCGAATTTGATTTATTGAAAACCAGAAAAGCAAGTGTTTCCGAAATTATCAAAGAAATTAAATCTTTTTCTATTTTTGTTTTAACTCCGCCTCCTTTGGATTATAAAAGGCAAAAATATCTTTACCATAATATCTGCTTATTTGTTAGAGATGAATTCAAGATATTACTTGTCCCAAACCAATCTATCCTGATAGTGAATAAAAATATATAGAAATTAAAATCATGACAAACCAAAACAATATTTTTTAACCAAAGAGGAAATAAAGAACTAATTGGTAATTTAAACCGAAATTCGTCTTATTTAATTGCATAAGAACACACTTTATTGATACATAAAAGCTGATAAAGAAGTTAAAGGTTTACAATCTTTAACAACTAATTTAAAGAAAGAGAGAAATGAATTGCTTGAAATAAATAAGCAATTAGAAGAAATAAGAGAATTAGAAGAGGAGTTAGAATTAGAAAAAAACATTTCTAAATGCCATTTAGATGCTCTCGAAGTGGCTAGAAAATGGAGCATAAGGCAAAGCAAAGAAAAGGATGGCAATTTAGAAAAAAGCTTCGAAAAAAATAGAGATGCTAGAGAATATTGTGGCATGACAGAATTATTTAGAGACAAGGAACTTCAAGAGTTACCATCTTTGCCAAAGAAACAAACTCCTAACTAACCAAGTAAAAAGCAGAATTAAGCAAGCAAAAGCAATGGCTCAAGAGAAGTTCAACACTTACAT